TCAAAGAATGCCTCTGAGAAATCACTTCAATGGTTGCCCACGTTTTTCTAAATTAGAGAAATGCAGAATGGATTTTATATAAACAAGGCTGTTCCTCTAGCACAGTAAGCCACAGGAAAAGTGAGCCATAGCTTCAAATCACTGAACGTCCAAAGCACACAATGTCCATGTGCGCTTTGCCACCCACCTCGCCCCAAGGGTGAACTTCTGACTCTGAAATGCAAGTCAGGGTACAGACTAAAGCCAAGGTGTACCATCTGGATGAGTGTACACCTCATTATGCTCCAGTGGGGGTGAGTAGAAGGCTAACTTGGTAGAGTAATGCTGTTTGGTTGACTAGCCAGAATCTATCAGCTTCAGGTACTCAAGCCTTCTCTTTCTACATTTCCCATTGGTGAAGGGAACCCAGAATCTTAAGGCAGAAACTTGGGAGTTGTCCTGGGCATCCTCCAGCCCCACAGCATTCAGTTATCAGGCACACTCCCCTTTTCTGGTGACTGTTCCTTCCATGTCCATTCTCACTATTAATTTGGGATTGCCATCTCTTACCTAGACCATTTTAATAATCACTGGTAGGGGTACCCAGAGGGCTTATATTCTGATCTAATCACTACTCTGCTGCGAGAGTGATCATTCCACAGTAATAACAGTACTTCGTGTTACTCTCAGACATAAAGCACTGGCAGCTTTTTACTACGAAATCAAGTCTAGGCTTCTCAGGAATGGAATTTCCATCTTCTACAATCTAGTCCCCACTTCTTTACAGCTTGGCATCCTGCTGTGCCAATGACAAACCCTCTTCTCTGGCACTGCCAGCTCACTATGGCCTATTTGAAATGCCCTCTCCCATGTCTGTTTGGTGATCACCTAGTCATCCCTCAAGGTCCAGCCCAAATCTCGCTTTCTTGATGAAGCTTCCCCTGACTGTTCTCCTTTCTACGGAATTGATACTAGATTCATTTCTGAAGTGGAAATCTACTTGCAATCTGAGTTGTAGATTTGCTCTGGTTTCTTTTCTTCTTCTTTTTTCAAAAAAAAAAAGAGGGGGGAGCACATGATGTTCTCATTGATCACCACTAAGCACTGAAATAATGAAGCGAACGTTTAGTCCAGGCCTTCACCATGGACTGTACAGCAAAGACCAGGAACTCTGTTTCGAGAAAACCAAACTTAGAAACCATAAGCTCCTACTGCTGGGGCAGCGCATGATCCATCTGTATCAGCATCTTAAGAGGATATACTTCTATTGTGAGAGTCCTGGGCCTTACTGTAGGATTTGTGTGGTCAAATGTCTTCCTCAGTAAATTAGCCAGAAAGTAGTCTAAACGCTCCTATGTGTCCAGGGACCATTAGCTCCATTTTGTCAACAAGGGGAGATTCACATAATCACTGGCCTAGTGACCAGCACTTAAATGCTGTTAGACATAAAGTCTAACAACTGTCAGTGAAAAGAACAAAACAGGACATATATTCTCTAAATAATTCGTGGTGCTTTAAAAGCTTCTTTACTTTGAAATCCCATTATACTTTCAGAAAACAAACAAACAAACTCAAAGAATGCCTCTGAGAAATCACTTCAATGGTTGCCCACGTTTTTCTAAATTAGAGAAATGCAGAATGGATTTTATATAAACAAGGCTGTTCCTCTAGCACAGTAAGCCACAGGAAAAGTGAGCCATAGCTTCAAATCACTGAACGTCCAAAGCACACAATGTCCATGTGCGCTTTGCCACCCACCTCGCCCCAAGGGTGAACTTCTGACTCTGAAATGCAAGTCAGGGTACAGACTAAAGCCAAGGTGTACCATCTGGATGAGTGTACACCTCATTATGCTCCAGTGGGGGTGAGTAGAAGGCTAACTTGGTAGAGTAATGCTGTTTGGTTGACTAGCCAGAATCTATCAGCTTCAGGTACTCAAGCCTTCTCTTTCTACATTTCCCATTGGTGAAGGGAACCCAGAATCTTAAGGCAGAAACTTGGGAGTTGTCCTGGGCATCCTCCAGCCCCACAGCATTCAGTTATCAGGCACACTCCCCTTTTCTGGTGACTGTTCCTTCCATGTCCATTCTCACTATTAATTTGGGATTGCCATCTCTTACCTAGACCATTTTAATAATCACTGGTAGGGGTACCCAGAGGGCTTATATTCTGATCTAATCACTACTCTGCTGCGAGAGTGATCATTCCACAGTAATAACAGTACTTCGTGTTACTCTCAGACATAAAGCACTGGCAGCTTTTTACTACGAAATCAAGTCTAGGCTTCTCAGGAATGGAATTTCCATCTTCTACAATCTAGTCCCCACTTCTTTACAGCTTGGCATCCTGCTGTGCCAATGACAAACCCTCTTCTCTGGCACTGCCAGCTCACTATGGCCTATTTGAAATGCCCTCTCCCATGTCTGTTTGGTGATCACCTAGTCATCCCTCAAGGTCCAGCCCAAATCTCGCTTTCTTGATGAAGCTTCCCCTGACTGTTCTCCTTTCTACGGAATTGATACTAGATTCATTTCTGAAGTGGAAATCTACTTGCAATCTGAGTTGTAGATTTGCTCTGGTTTCTTTTCTTCTTCTTTTTTCAAAAAAAAAAAGAGGGGGGAGCACATGATGTTCTCATTGATCACCACTAAGCACTGAAATAATGAAGCGAACGTTTAGTCCAGGCCTTCACCATGGACTGTACAGCAAAGACCAGGAACTCTGTTTCGAGAAAACCAAACTTAGAAACCATAAGCTCCTACTGCTGGGGCAGCGCATGATCCATCTGTATCAGCATCTTAAGAGGATATACTTCTATTGTGAGAGTCCTGGGCCTTACTGTAGGATTTGTGTGGTCAAATGTCTTCCTCAGTAAATTAGCCAGAAAGTAGTCTAAACGCTCCTATGTGTCCAGGGACCATTAGCTCCATTTTGTCAACAAGGGGAGATTCACATAATCACTGGCCTAGTGACCAGCACTTAAATGCTGTTAGACATAAAGTCTAACAACTGTCAGTGGGATTAACAATAGAGCAGACATTTCTTGGGTTCAAATGACTGCTTAGACATTCAGAATTAGTCAGTGGAACAAGGAAATTAATTCCCTCAAAGCACCACCTGCTTTCCTAGATAATTATACCCACATACGCTTTCACAGACCTGTGTTTCCTTTCATTATTCTCATTTCTAATTATTCGACATAACTGCTTCTCTTGTCCAATTTAAGATAAAACTCCAAAATTTACTGTTAGCATTTCTCTATTTCCCTCCATATCTTCTATAGCTGACTAAAGGTCTTAGAAACTTCCTATCTGTCTAATTTCCTTAATTGAAGGGTGTGCCGATTAGACCTTAGTTGCAGTTCTTGTACGTTTTGCATATTACTGAGAAAGCTATTTTTGCCTATTTCTCCATGAAGAATTCAAACAGCACGTCTACAAATGCTCACATCAACTAGCAGCTTTCTGTCCATCTATAGGAATCTTGCTCAGGAAGCAAACATACAAAATACTGTAATTGTTAAAAACTATTTTTATAATTTTTATAATTAAGAGAATATTTCATGCTTTTCAAAATTGATGCAAAATTTTTTTTAAAACAAATGCACACAAAGGCTTTTGCTAAAAGACTTCTTGGTAGGCTTCTAAAACTGTATTTTTCCTCTCTAAAAAAATTTAAAGCTTAGGAAGACTGTTCTAAACAGTACTGGCAGTGTATCAAATTTCAGCTCATGCATTTCAATCCTTGTCCACATGCTAAAACTTACAGCCAAAGAATGCTGTACAACTGACAAACCTACTGTTAAAAAGATGCAAAGCACCTTTAAAACCACTTAAACCTTGTTCTTAAAGACACACCCAAAATGTCGGCTTTGTGTCCTGTGATGTTAACCCTCTCTAAAACTTCCCAAGGCTAATAAAGTAAGATTGGGAAGATAAAATGCATATCCAACACAATGGACAAAATCTGAGTCACGATAAGATTTTACCACAAGGTCAAGGGCACAGAATCACGTTTCCTAACCTCAGCACCTATATGCAATTCACATTGTAGCCCTCTCTGTCCTACAGATCTGCCTAAACATCAGGCAGAGGTGGGTGAAGAACTTATTACTTGCAAATATTTCTGTCTTCCTTAGTTTAACAGAAGAAAATAAACACTACTAAGAAGCCACTGTATTAAAAACAATACAATTTGTAACTATGACTCAAATCAATCCTCTTCCTATGGTACTAAAAGAATGACCAGGTAGACAAGTTTAAAAGCCCTCACAATTTAGAAGAGCTTCTGAGAGGAAGTCACAGGTCAAGAGACCACAGAGGTCTCAAAAGGCTCTGACAATAGAAATTTTAAATAGCACAAGTAACTTATGAAAAGCAATGATCAATAGAATACATGAGTAGGGATTACCATACTAATCATGCGTAACCTTTTCAAGTCATTATAGTTTTTAAAGAATCTATGCTCATTAAATAAGTGCTAAATGTAGAAATGCTTTCTCACTTAGTCTAATAATCCATATTATTAAAAAAATAGCATTTTATCAAATATTTCCTAGATGGCATAGCCTGTTTAGTATTATAACCTGATGCTACTACCCCTCTATTTCTACTGCCTTTATCGTGTACAGTTCTATAATTACAGTCATTTTGTCTTAATCTACTGTTAAGAATCACTTCTATTTGTAAACTATTTCAATATATGAACAAAATGAAAGGTTCTTTCATTATCAGTTAGGATCAGATGTGGTAAGTGACCTAGGATGTTTTCTTTAGAGGCTAAAGACAAAGAACTCTAAATAAGCACCAGTGTCATTTGAAAGGATACCTCAGGGGATAGGAATTTTTTTTCCCCCCCAATAAGCAAGAGAGGGGGAGCTGGGTGGTAGGGAAGGATGAAAGAATTTTAGGATTTTAACCGCTTAGAGTGCAGGCTCTTCCTACCTCGCCCTGACCCTCCCAGCCCCTTTAACAATGAGGATGCTGGGGAGATACTAGCAGCCGGATGGGATCTGGCCATACCTTCATGCGTAGGCTCTGGGTCAGGTGTAAGTGAGATGTCATCCAGCTCTCGGAGGCAGAGCCATTCTCCGTCCATAGACACTCGGAATTTGCAAAGGTAGATGGTCTCCATGGCAGCCTGTGTGATCTTGTCAGTGGTGGGGGTTGGCATATCGGTTGGAGGCGTCAGAGCAGACATGATGACTCAGCTGGGACCACAACAAACACACACACACACACACACACACACACACACAAACGCAAACGCACCCCACAAAAATAAATAAAACCTCCTGATCAAGACCCCCCAAATCTGAAGCTCTGGAACAAAGCTTTCAGAAAATGGGGTGGGGAAGGTTCCAAAAAAATAAATAAAAAAAAGAAAAACACAACAAAACAAAAAAATCTTATGGTTTAAAAACCTATTGCTCAAGAGAAACAATTCTATACTATCTTTTCTGATAGATAGTTCCTACCACATCGCAAAATAAGACGATGCTTGTCTTCTCCCAGCTTCCTTTGCTTTTATCTTCTTTTCTCTATCTCTTTCCAGCTGAGCTAGAAGCTTTAAATCCTGCACGGCCGATGCTGCCTTAGCTGTCTTTAAAAAACTGGCATTGGCATGAATAAGTGAAAAATTCTCCTTCTTTGTGCAGAAAAAGAATACAAAAGAAAAAAGAAAAAACAATGGAAAATAAGAGTATATTTTCAATTTAGCTAAAAAAAAAATCCTGAACTGCAGAAATCACTTCCAGGATCTGCTCAGATGAGCTGGGATGCTGAGTTCTGATAGGATTGGTTGTGCGCAGTAAGCAGGGTGTTGACCAAAATGGCTGACTAATGAACTGAACTGAAAATTCAGGCTCATGTGACCAGCTGCTCTGAACGTGGGGCGAGCAATTCCCAGGATGCTTTATAGATGCTGCTGATGCGGGGAGAGCAATTAGGCTGCTCACTCTCATCGTGCACAACCCACTTCCAGACTGTGCTAGTCAAACGGTGATCAGACATAACGCAATGCATACATCCTCATCAATTCTCCTCACTTTGGGATGGAAAGGCTGAATAACAGGAGGACAATTAACTGGATAATACTCCACAGCAAAGAAGGCAAAAGAGGCTGTTGGATTAATTTAATGAGCATAGAATTCACTTTTATTCTTATATACGTAGTTATTAAAAATTCTTTGCTAAATGGGATGTTTTAAGAAAATCTGCAGATTTTTAATTTAAATATCTTATTCTCGGGCATTTATAATCTCCTTCTCCAAGGTTCAAAAATCTGACTTCTTGGATTGAGCAAAATTAAGAAAAAAATCTCGGAGCTGAAGAAGTATAATCCTTCCAGGTTAATGGCAAGCTATTCCTCCTCTCCTGTCCCGTCCTTCCTACCCCGCCCCCCCCCATAATGCTGTATTTATCAAGTTTCTGCATTAAGCATGAGATATGCTTTTAAGCACAAGATAAATCCATGTTATACTGTGTTTCAAAAATCCTCCCAAGGTCGGCAACAGTGGTGCAGCAGTAGCACAAGGATATGTAGTCCTGGTCACACATGAGAAGGTTCAGGGTTCTACCTGGAGGGCTCCCTGTACACAGTGGGGGTGCACTTGCAAACATGTCTGAAACCCAGGCGGGCTGAGGCTAGGTGTGGACACAACATGAACACACTATTGAGAGTGCCTCTCCCCCCCATTCTCTCATGAAATAAATAAACATAATCCTCCCATCCTGGAACATATGGAAGACGCATTATCACATTCTCTCAAACCAAGCAACCAGCCAATTTATTCCCCTCTCATCCACCACAATGAAGCAGCATTGTTCAAAGAGGCATTAATACCTGGGTAGCAAAAAGGCAGGTACTTGCTTTCTAAGCTATATCAACAACAAGAAGAGGAACGATAAGGATTTTCTTTGAAGATGCTTTGGACAATTGAAAGCAAGTGTTTTGTTCTATTTAAGTGTTCCAGTTTTAAGAAGAAACATACAGCTTCAAGAAACATAGCCCTGGGGCCAGCAGGTGGCATAGTGGTTAAGGCAGTGGACTACCACACAGCCGACAATGATTCAAGCCCTAGATCTGGAGGCTTGCTTTCACACTTTCCCTTTCTCTCTCTCTATGGTCTAATTAATAATAATAATAATAAATAAATCTTAAAAAATAAATATAGCACCAAACTATTTATTGCATTGTAGGAATATTTATCTTTTCAATTAAGCAAATCAGAGGTTACTTCATTTCAGAAAACTAACAAAAAATTCTTCTTGAATATTATGAAAATTTCATAAGTGCTTCATCTTTTTTTTTTTTTTTAAGAATTATTTTATTTAACTTTACTTATTCATCCCAATTTGAACAGAGAGGGGCAAAGCAGGAGAGGGAAATTGAGAAAGCAAGCCACCAAATCCAGGACTTGAACTGCAGTTAGCCATGTGGGAGTCCAGTGCCCCTAACCACCACACCACCTGCCAGCCCAAGTGCTTCTCCTTAACTTGGACACTGGGGAGGGATAGTGGCTCAGTAGTAACACAACCCTCTGCAGGGCTGACCCATACGGGAGGATTCCAGGTTTGCATCTGGAGGTCTTACAGAACACTTGGACATGCACATGCCAATGGTCTGGGGCTGGCTAAGGCTGGAGGTGGATTGTAGTGTTGGGACCCTGTTAGTGCCTATCTCTCTGTCTCTCTCACTCAATGGAAAACAAAACACAACAAAGAAATAAGCTTAAAAAAAAAAGGCTAAAAAACTAGGGGCTAGCAGGTGGTAGGTAGGGTGCTGGACCCCCACATGGCTGAGTCCCAGACCCAGCAGCTTGAAGATCATGCCAGGCATGAGTGCCTATGTGCAGAGTCCTGAGAGGAGAGTGAAGGGGAGGGGATAGCAGTGTAGCCAGTGTGACCATCCCCGGGGAGTAGTTTCTCACTTTCCCTCTGTCTCTCTCCAGCAAAGGCCTGCGCCCTATGGCAGAAACCTAAAAAAAGGAAGAAAGAGAAAAGAAAAAGCTAAGACCTACAGTCTGTAGGTAAACAGGTATTTTCATACTGTTAAAAGGAGGGTAAGTTGGTACAATGTAAGAATGTGCATACGCACATGCTTATTTATAATTGGAGAATCAATATGTCACTGAAGAAAATATTCCTGGTTAGTTTATTTCTATCATGTTTTCTTTCAACATTATCCTATGTCTGTCTGCCTCCCGAGCTATTCATTTACTCAGCAAATACTCACTTAGAGGTGTCCACGTGCCAGGCAGTGATCCAGGCACTGGACATACAGCCTTAAGACGGGATCACCTTTTTGAGGAAGCAGAGTTTACACAAGGAAATGCAGAAACAGGCTTCCATTTAACAATCACATTTAATTAAACTTTAATTCCTTTCTTTAAAAAAATTGCCAGAAGGCATTATGTGCTGGGGGAGGGGAGGGGGAGCATCCCCAAAAGGGCAAGGTCACACTACAATCCCTACTCCATTTCTCCATCCTTCAGAAGTTTGGACATACTCATGTGCTGAGTATGTTTTTTAAGCTGCCAGGTCTGGGATTCAAACTAGGATCCTGTGGGAGTCAGTTTCCTTAACCACTAGGCCACAGGGCTGGCCCTCGATTCCTTTTTTTAAAGAAAACTTTTAGTTGCTAAAGGACAAATACTCTCACCAGAGACAGACAGAGAGAAAGTGAGACAGAGAGGGAGACACTTTTTTAAAAGTAAAAAAAGATGGCCAGCCAGTGGCATGGTAGTACTGTGGTACTATAATGATCTGGGGCTGGCTAAGGCTTGTGGATTGTAGGGCTGGGACCCTGTTAGGGGGTGCCTGTTTCTCTCACTGAATAAAAACGAAGAAACAAACAAACAAGCAAGCTTAAAAAAAAAAATGCTAGGGACCAGCAGTTAGCGTAATGGCTATGTCGCTAGACTCCCATGTAGTCGACCGCAGTTTGTGTCCCAGAGCTGGGGGCTTAAAACTCACGCTGGGCGCATGTGCGTGCGTGCCCAAGATCCCGAGAGAATGGAGGAGAAGGGATTGCGGCGTGGCCACCGCCCCGGAGGGGGATTTCTCACTTTCTGTCTCTGTCTCTCTCTGTCTGTCTGGCGAACACACACACCCTATATCAAAAACCTCTTTCAAAACAAAACAAAACAAAAAAAACACACACACACACACACACACAAAAAAAAACAAAAACAAAAAATGCTAAAAACTAGGGGCTGGCAGGTGGTATGGTGGTTAGGGTACTGGTCATATCCTAACCCTTTTTCCATCTCTCCACTCAGAAGTGATTTTGGGCTTGTGCCTAATGGTTTCCTTAACCACTAGGCAACAGGGCTGCCCCTCAGTTCCTTTTTAGTCAGACATTTCCCCATCTTTACATTTATACTAAAACAAAAAAGGGACAGTTATCAGTTTCACTTTATACTCTATAATATTTTGAAACCTATAGAAGCAGTCATCAAAACCTTTAAATTACAGTTACGTTCTGTGTTAGCGAGTCTGTATCCACAGATTCAATACACCACAATGGAAAATGACTTGAAAAATAAAAGTAATACAATAATAAAAAATTATACAAATAAAAAAACAATATAGTGTAACAACTATTTATATAGCATATACTTTGTATTGGGTAATTATAAGTAATCTGGAGATGATTTAAAATGTATAGAGGATATGCACAGGTTATATGCAACATCTGTACTGCTTTATACAAGGCATTTGAACCTGAGTGTGGTATCTACGGGGAAGGGTGGCCTGGAACTAATCCCCCACAGACACCAAGGGATGACTGTACATAGTATAAGGTGATATGAATCACTCTAAAGGAATGCGCCAAAGCACTTTTCCCTGAATAGTTCCTCAAACAACTCCAGACCACTCTGGTTATCTGTGCCTGTGACATCAAGACTCTAGGTAAGCTCAGCCCAGGTGCTGCCATCAGTAGTGTGATGGACTGCTGTGCTAGAAGCCACATGCTGACCATGGGTTCAGATTCCAGGAATGTGCAAGGGCACCCAAGATCCTGAGGAGTGGGAGCGCTCGGCATACAAGCTCCTGATGAGGATGCTTCTCTCTCTGTCCCGCATGTGTACGTGTGTTCTCTATCATTAAACAATCAAAAGGCTCTAGGTCACTGATGTATTATTAAAATACAGAACATGAGTACATGCATAAATCAGAATGTTCTATGACTGCCTGGTTTCCAATACCTGAATTCAGCCTTGACACAAACCATTACAAAGGATCTTTTCACTAACCAATAAACAATGACTAACTCTGCACAGGAGATCTGGACTAATAACAACATACCAACTAGCAGAACAGGAACATCTAGGCTAATAAGCAGAAAGACTTGGTGAATTTTCTTTCTCAAGATCCTTTCTCCCCAGGTAGAGGACATAGAGAGGGGAGCCCAAAGCAACTAAAGCTTGCAGCAAGGACAGAAAAAACACACATGTGCTGGTTACCCTCAAGTTTCCCACATCTATCAGTCTGAGAAGGTGTTAGCAGCCACTTCAGAAGTAAGACCTGTGGGTGGGCAAGAAAACCTGTATTTCCACTATGTGATACCTGTTCTTCAGGTAAATACCTGCAGTCTTCAGCACTAGCAGTTACTCTTTGCTCATAAGCGATGGATTTATTAGGAATACAACCTTATTTGTAGAAGGTTAAAAAATATATTCTAACTACTGCTTAGTACTGTTTTCATATTTAGATTATTACTAAGTAAATATACTAGCTTCAAATATAAAGATAACACTGAACTATCAAGACATAGAAACCTCAGATTTTTTTCTCATACATGTACTAATTATCAATAGGCACATGTGTGTGTGTATATATATATATTTTTTCAGTTTATTGATATAGGGTACGTGAGCTCATAGGACAGAGCCACAAAGGAAAGGAAAGTGAGAAATCACCCCAACCCCCATGGGGTATGGCCATGCTGCAATCCCTTCTCCTCCATTGTCCTCTAGGGATTTTGAGTAAGCATGCATAAGCACCTGGTGTGATTTTTAAG